TGAACTCCCTCACCCAGTAGATTCCATTTAAGCAAGCAAAATGTTCCCTCAGTGGGGTCTTTTCAATAAAATAAGCCAAAATGAAAATCAAGAGAGTTGGAGCAGAAATAAAAATCTATATGCTTTAGACCCACCATATTCAATAAGATTTAAGCCCATACAAGCATCAGATTAACCCCACCTTGAATTTCAATCTACTAAGTTCTTGAAAATTTATAATTGTAATTTCAACAATAATCCATTTGGAACAATAAATCTAAACAAATATGATTCCCCGCACAGCAGTGGTGTATCGGGCTAGGACTAGTATGGCCAAATAATCTTTTTGCACATTAATTTTCTTACAAATAAATTCAAAGCATTTTCACACTTTCAAATATGGCCCTCTAATTACGCCTGCGGCAGAGTCGCCTCAAAATCAAAGCTAGCCTTAAACCCCAAGTTCCAACGGTCTAACTGACAAAAACAGAGAGGCCAAATTACGTTTTAAAAACGAATAAAAACATTTCGGAAAGAACATTAAGTAAATATCGAATTAGCATACCTTTCAGTGTTATCAATAGACATGCGCCGCGAATCTAGTTCCCAGGAATTATCGTTCCTCTGTAAAACCCTAACTTTCTCTTTTCTTCCTCTATCAAGATCTCCGTTCTCTGGCTTTCCGGATGTAGGTACTACAAAAGGATTCAGAGTCGCAGGAATTGCGGTCGTGATTCTTCTGGTTTGGTATTTTTTTGGTCCGAGAGAGGTTTCGAGAAAAGGCGAGGTTTAGCAGGAAGGGTTTGACGGAAGAGCTGGTGTTATTTATAGCTTCTCTAGATATTTCGATTCCGTGTGGGAAGTCGTGACGTGGCAAATCGCAGTCCTAGCCGTGGTACTTTTCCAGCCACATGACGTGACACGTGTCGCCCAAGCGTTCTCGCCTCGTTCCTCGCTGGAGTGTTTGCTTTGCCCCGAAGGTTTCCAATTTTAACCTCCGCGTTGAGTAATTAATGTGCGGTAATAGTTTCCTAAAAATAATTACTACGACTGGAATGTTTTTTTGTAATACCCAGTAGTTACTACGGAGTACTTACTACGACTCTACGAGTGAGTAAGGTAACTTTCCTAAAACATTATTAAAATAATTTCTCTATTCCTTAAATAATTGCAACACTTGGTCAGAAACAAATGCATACTTTGTTTTACGTTGATGATTACGAGTAACTAATAATACTCCCTCCATCAGAAAAATGTTTGTTAACTTGACTTTTCTTGATTAATGACAATCAACTTTGATTAATTATTTTTCTTTAATATGAAATTATTTAGAATATGAAAACTATATCATATCAAAATATTCCTTATTCAAAATATTATCATAAAAGTATAAAATTTATAAATTATATACAAATATACTACTCTCTCCGTCCCATTAGAAGGTTCTCACTTTCCTTTTTTAGACGTCCCATATAAAGGTTCTCATTTCAATTTTAGGAAACAGTTAACAATCTTAAATGACAAACTAATCATTAAATATTAAAAATAATACATTTATAACATCACAGTTATCGATACTAACTACATTATAATATATACCTATTAAAATTATTTCTCAAAATATACTCGAAATACTTTATTTTATTATTGCCTAAATAACCGTGCCGTTTTGATATGGTTCCAACGGGACGAAGTAGTTAAAATCGTTATCTAAAGTTAGTCAACGGTGAAGGTAGTATAATATAAGATTTGTAATCACTAAATGTCAATTTGATAATTTGAAATTGATTGAATTAATGTAATCTATTAAAATTGATGAAATTCTTATAGAAGATGTTGAATTGATTGAATCATGCGAAAATCAAATAAATTAATTAGTTAGGCAATCATGAACTGAACCGTAAATGAATAGCGCTCTTCAGTCATTTCGGTCAGATCAACTTAATTAGAAATAAAAGTTCATCAACTTTGTTTATTTTAATTATTACGTAGTTATGCACGAAATAAAAATTTATATTTTTATTAAAAATTAAAGTTAACCGAAAATTCGAATATAGTCTAAAAAGTTACTATTCACATGGTCAACTTAAATTACTCTTAATCTTATGTTTTATATATCAAATTTTTATCAAATTTATATTTTTTAATCAACCTTTGTAGCGGTTTTATTGTAGTTTCTCTATATGTAAATTTTATTTACTAAATTTTATTTACTAACAGGGATCGAGTTGCTTTATCGTCAGTCAAACATTGTAATCCAAAATGAGAAGTTAATTTTGAGACTAGTACTAATTAACATTGTCTTCTAGTTTCATCGTGTAATAATGTTTAAAATTGTACTTTTGAAAATGTGAAATTCAAGTTAGGAAATAAATAGAAACGCATTAAGGCAGATTATACCATATGACGGTGAGCATATATCGGTATAAGGATTTTTTTTTCTTTTTTCCTTTTGTTTTTAAAAAATGCTAATAACTTTTCTATTTTTGATCCGATTTTTATAAAATTTATATCAACATTTTTTATTTTTCACGATCTTTCAAATGAGACCAATATTGCATATGTAATTTTAAGAAATTATCGAACTATTATATTAATGAGTATTGGATTATAAGGAAAATCGAACTAAATTTTATACAGAAAAATAATTGTGTAAATCACAATTTATCTTAAAATTATGTATATAAAAAATTTATTTTATTATGTATTTATACATGTGAATTACATATTTTTATACGTAAAGTTACATATTTGTACACGTAAAGTTACATATTTATACACACTAGTTGCATTTGGCCTGCCTGAACGCGAGTTACATATTTTTACACGTAAAGTTACATATTTTTACACTTAAAGTTACATATTTATACACGCGAGTTACATATTTTTACACGTAAAGTTACATATTTTTACACGTAAAGTTACATATTTATACACGCGAGTCACATATTTATACACACGAGTTATATTTGACCTATCTGAACGCGAGTTACATATTTTTACACATAAAGTTACATATTTATACACGTGAGTTATATATTTATACACACGAGTTGTATTTGATCTGTCTGAACGCGAGTTACATATTTTTACACGTAAAGTTACATATTTTTACACGTATAGTTATATATTTATACACACGAGTTGCATTTGGCCTGACTGGACGTGAGTTACATATTTTTACACATAAAATTACATATTTTACATAGGTTAACATAATAGTTCGATAATATGTTAAAATTACATAATCAATATTGATCTCATTTGAAAGATCATGAAAAATAAAAAATATTGATATAATTTTTATAAAAATCGGATCAAAAATAAAAAAAGTTAGTACCATTTTTTTTTAAAAAAAAGAGAAAATAATACTTAATGGGTGCACGGTGCTCATCATGGACCGTATACCCACTCCACATTAACTATTTAATTGAAATGGAAAGCCGGCCAACTTTTAACGGTCGCGAGCCTGAAAATGGCAACCCGCCCACAGCATCAGCACTGGCATGTTCGCAGCCGTTTTGTCTGTTTATTTGTGGCGATGCATGATAGCCTTTTTTTAATTCACGTCCTTATCATCTCACTTTCTTCTATGGAACAAAACTTCAAGGCGTATACTTCCTGTATTGAAGAGTGTAGAAATTTTTTAGTACATACTCCCTACATCCCATTTTGATTTGAAAAATTTCCTATTTTGGTTGTCTCAAAATGTTTTTCCACTTTCTATTTTAGGTATGTAGATAAGAATAAAGTGACAAATTTACCCTTACTTTTACTTTTTTTCCATTAATTTAAAGATATTCACTTTTAGGAAGATAGACAAAAGTGTAAAAAGCAAACATCATTTATTTTTCTGCATTAATCCTTGTGTCAGTCAAAGTTTGCCATTCAATTCGGGGCGGAGGGAGTATGCTTTAGTTTGATTATATTTTATTTAGTACTCTGTAATGCATGAGAAATTTGATTTTTTAAGTACGTACTTCATAGTATAAACAGTATATACATATTAAATTTTTGTCATTTTAAAATTTTAAAATATAAATTTTATATTTTTATTAACGAGGAATTAAATATATTGTTGATCAAACTTGTGTGTTGACAAATGTAAAAATGAAAACGTGTGAGTTAAATAGAGGAAGTTTATTTTTAAAAGTAGAAAAAATGGAAACTAGTAATCCAACCTTTTAGCGTTTTTCTTACGATAGTCCCACATTTTCATTATTCATGAATAATCCAACATTTGCACCCCATCTTCATTCACTGGCCCCTGATCGATTTATGACTTGTTATTCCAAGTTATTTTCTTATCTTTGTAAAACATTATACCATAATTCTCACCTTATGATCACATAATGTTTTGCAAAGATAAGAAAATAACTTGGAATAACAAGTCATAAATCGGTCAGGGACCAGTGAATGAAGATGAAGTGCAAATGTTGGATTATTCATGAATAATGAAAAAGTGAGACTATTGTAAGAAAACCGCTAAAAGGTTGGATTATTAGTTTCCATTTTCCCTTAAAAGTATTGAAAATACCCAAAATTTTTAGATGAGTACTTGTTTTTGGATGTTTAAAATATTAAAAAAGAATATATGTTTTCCTCCCTTCGTACATAAATTAAATTATGGCTCCAAATTATTAATTTGGTGCAGCCGCTTAGCCCCCTTCGTAATAAACTTATTATCAGAATTTTATAAAGTATTCTCTCCGTTCTTTTTTAGTTGCAACGGTCAACGTTTCATGTACATTTGCCAACACACGTATTTGACCGTAATTATATCTTAATTCTATCAGTAAAAAAAATTAAAAATCAGATTTTGAAAATTTAATTTGTAATGAGATGAATTGAACAATATTTTTTAAAAAAAATAATTTTCATAAAATAGTAGCGTAAAATGTAGTCAAAGTAACATGTTGCGATTAAAAAGAAACGGATGATAGTATTTTTATTTGTTTAGTATTCCTTTTATTTATATGGGCCCTAATCAACACTTATTTTATAATGGATTTGTGATTTAGGTCTCCCTAGTTTGCTATTTTCTCAACGTAACACTTAATATAACTCCTTGCCGCCCAAGCTACATACGGATCGAGTATTTTGTTTCCTTTTCCTTGATCCTTGATCCAAGGTCTTAAATTTTGTTTCCTTTTCCTTGTGGTATTAAAATTCCACCTCGGATCCCTTTCCTATTGTTCATTTGTTCCACAAGGTGGAATCTCTCACCCCAGGAGCTCCCCAATCCCGACCCGACAGAATGGTGGAGAGGTTAGTCACGGTGACTCAGTCAGCAGAATGGCAGTAGGCTCATACACCCGTGCGCATCAGAGGCCCAGCCTTATTTCAGATTCAGTGACCTCCACCCGGTCGTTGAGGGGATTCGAACTTTGGTCCATTGTTCCAAATCTCCCACCACTTGACCAACTGAGCTACCTGTGCGGGTACCTCCGATCCCTTTCCTAAATTGCTATATATATACTCGTATATAGCTAATATTATTTCAGCCGTCACATACATATTTTGTACGAACCCTAAGTCTTGATCAGATGACGAGTACTTGTAGTGATAACTTGTATATTAGCAATGAACTACTCTTTGAGATTCTGACTTGGTCATCTCTCACGAGAGTAGATAAATGCAAGGCTTTGAGTAAGGAGGTGAAGGATCTCATTGACGATTCATGGTTCTTGCAAAACTACTGCCGCAAAACCAACAACGTCTTCGGCTACTTCCTTCAAACGTTCAAAGACCATCGCTACGTGTCCACTTTCGTGTCCGTTGACCCGTCGATAAATCCGAATATTTCTCTCGAGTCCTTGAAAGACGACCTACGCATCTTGGCATCGTCTAATCATGGACTTTTGTGCTGTCGAAGGTACGACCGTGATGTCAGGTCGTACCTTTATTACGTTTGCAAGCCTTGTACTAGGCAGACGGTGTTGCTGCCTAGTCCGACCAAGAAGCTGGGACAACATATTGAGCAAGTTGCTTTGATCGTCCTCAAATCAAATCCATTGCATTACAAAGTTATCAGATTCTCACCTGATCGTCATTCGTAAGTTATCCTGTCTTATTACCGAATAATATAATAGTGTTTTTATTCTCATATTAATTGTTTATATTTATTCTTGTCATATACTTCGTATAAATATAGGAATGGAAAAATTGCTTATTTAGAAATCTAGCTAATTAACCACAACAGATACTAGGTTAGAAAGATTTGCCCTCCAAATAAAAGAAATCTAACTAACTGTAAAAAAAAACTAGCTACCTATTTGTTTTGACAATGCTATTTAGAGCACTTTCTGCTTATCTTTTCGAAAGGTAAAAAATACGAAACGGTCTTCTGAAAATAATTCTGTAATAATCTAAACAATATAGGGTAGCTTCTGAAAATAATTTAAACTGCGCTGAATATATTCAACACATATGGCCTGTTTTGATTGATTATATTTATTCATGATTTCTGTCTAAAACATAATGTTTGGGTGCAAACTCAATGATTAATCAGAAATATGAGCTATCTACGAATCCAATTTCGATATAAACATGGTAGGAAATCTAAACTGATCAAAAGACGGCCAATTTTTCCGAGCATTAGTAATTGTTAATGCTACTTTAATTTGGATAATCCCTAATCATATTTACAAATCTCAGGCCGCCGGAATGCAATAGCTACGCATCTGAGATATTTGATTCTAAAATTTGGGCGTGGAGGACGGTAGATAACTTCGTGACAGAATTCTGCACAATATTCGGAAACCAACAATCCATCTGCATCGGTGACGTGGCATATTGGCTATCCAACAAAGACACCATTTTGGCATTTGACTCAGCCACCGAAACTCACTCGGAATTTCAACTGCCAAAAACAATAACACAAATTGACGGCGGAGGCGGCGTCGGCTACATCATTGGAAAGCAAATTGTGGAGTACAAAGGAAAGCTCGGGCTTACGTGTCGGTGCATCTTCAGGTCACCGTCTTCATGTAATCTGTTGTTGGTGTGGGTGCTAGAGGATAGGAAGCGGTGGGAGTGGAGGTTAGAGCGAGTGGTGAGGATCGATGAGAACGAGAGAAAGTTGATGGGGTGCAGCCTTGCGGATGTGGAGCTTATGGTTGGATATGAGACTCAAGTATATGAACAAGGTGGTTTCTTTTTTTATAGTCCTCCTCTCCACGTCTTTCCTTTCCGGTCCGATTTTGAGCCCGTAAATCTTGAAGATGGATGCATGCTTAGTTGCTTAGATGATATTATCCAGTTTTGATCTATTGTGTATGATGATAACTAGTGTAACACCAATTAAGTAATTAGTAGTCAGGTATGCTTTTCACATTGTATCTTTTAATTAATTTGTTGCATGTACAATGCTTTGCAATAAAGCTCTATTTCTAATACTTGTGGTAACGCATATATACTTGTGGAAAAATAGTTACCAAACGGACTCTATATATGGCTCCAAATTAAAGGGCCGAGCTAAGCGGCTGCACCATAAACCATAATCGCAAGTTTTCGCACATGATATATACAGTCAAAATTATGAAATCAGGAATCCTCTTGTTGACACTAAAATTGGCTAAATATTCTGAAGTTTTGATTGAAGTTAACGAATTGACTGAATTTACTGAATTATGGAAAACCCATGCTTATAAATACATTTTACTAATAAAATAAATATAAAATTATATGAAAAATGATATTCTGCAGTAAATTCAGTCAATTCAGGCAGAAAAGTAAGTTCAGCTGATAGAGTATATCTAGAGAGAGAAGTGCAATGATATGCTTCAATAGAATGATTTTGTAACCCCTATAACTACTCCCAAAGGGAGTATTTATAGAGAAAATTAGGGTTGGGCTCCCAAGCCTTGGGCTTGGGAGGCCCATTTACAACTGGACCGCTACTGGGCCGAATACAAAGCCACTAATGGGCCGTACAAATGAGTAAGTATAAAATCTGATTCTGTGAGGTCTTCGTGGCCGACGAGGGCGTGGCCGACGAGGGCACGGCCGACGAGGGCACGGCCGACGAGGGCACCCGGGTTCCTTGGACTCAGGACCATAATCCGAGTTGGCCCCCTTCCTGGCCGACGGGGGCGTCCTGGCCGACGAGGGCGCCACTCTGTGCCTTGTGCTTTCTGTTCTTCCGAGTATGTGGGTCCGGGGGCTCAGACCCATATACTCCATCAGGAGTCCCCCACTCTCTAAGCTGAGACATAGACGAAGTGAAGGAGAGTAGATTCCTGTGCTTTGTTGCCCTTGGCCGTTACCTGTTCCTCGTTGTGGACAGGGAGGCCGTTGTTTACTTGATGTCTTCGTTTTGGGACGATGAGTGTCCTTCTTTCAATGGTGGCCGTTGAAGGCATGTTTTGCTTGGGCGCTGATGGTTGAAGTTTGTATTTGGGCCGATGAGGCCACTGAAGTTATTCCTTGCTTTGAGGACGATGACGTCCTTTCCTTTGGGTGGCCGATGAGGGTGTTTGCGCACTCCTTTTGGCCGTCGTTGATTAGCTTTCATGTTTCTGGCCGAAGGGCCCCTCGTGATTAAGTGATGGCGGAGGACGATGAGTGTCCTTGCCTTTGGTGACCCGTTGGCCGTTGCAGATGACGTTGCGTGCATACCGACGAGGTGCAGTGTGATGCGTGGCCGATGTGGCCATGCTCTGTGGTTACCTTGTTTGCATTTTCTTTCGTTTTGTTGAGGCCGGTGTAGTCCCCCAGTCCCCCACCGCTTCAGGCCGAAGAGTGTGAGGGGTGAAGGAGTTGCTTGAGTCCCCGACCGAAGCGGTCTCGCCGTAGTCCCCCTGAATCCAACCCTCATGGCGATTTTCTGGCCAAGGTAACCCTGTGGGAGAACCCTTGTGCGCAGATCGCTTGTAGAGGGTTATCATCAAGGGTCATTACGAGGAGCCGATGGCTTTTGGGCTCTTGGGTCCTTTGATCTTGTGGCCGTTACGTTCCTGGCCGTTGCCGTCTCCTTATTGTTTGGCCGTTGTGATCTTGGCGAGCAAGTGGGACGTTGTGGGCGCTTGCTGGCATTTGTAAAGCCGGTGAGCGTGTGTAGGCCGTAGAGTCCGTCTTGCCAGTGGGCTGTTGATATTGAGTTTGGCCCGTTGGTGACGTGGTGGTCCTCCATTGGTGGGCGTTGGTGTGGCCATTGGGGAGGTGCCACGTGTAGTGACCGTTGGGTGGGGGGTTCTATAAATACCCCTCCCCCTCCGACGAGAAAACGTATTTGCATTCTGAATTTGTCGAAGTGCTGGCCGATTTTCTAGAGAGATAAACTCCCAAGCCTGTTCTTCATGTTCTTCGTTGTTCAAGGTTAGTGTTCATCGCGATCTTCCTCACTTTTCATACTTTGCTTCCTAGGTTGTTGATCTAGTGTTAGGCGTTTGAACACCCTTAGATCTTAAGTTAGTCTCCTTAGGCCCGTAGTAGTAGTTATGAAGAGCTTGAATGAAGACTACTACCCCTACGACGACCAGCCCTCCACGAGGTCGCTTGACTACGAGGTGCTCGAGGAGTTTGAAGAGGAGATAGAGCGTTTAAGTCCCTACAAATCCGGAGAGCCGGTGGACGAGGAAGGCGAGGACGAGGAGTCCGCCTCCTCTTCAAAGGGTGAGGACGTAGGCGCGTCCCGAGTGGTGGACGGGGCGTCCACTTTTGCTGTCGTTCCGTGCCCGAGGCCGGTGTCTGCCGTGAAGGGAGCAGCTAAGCCGAAGAGAGTGAGGAGGCCGAAGAGTGGGCCCAGCATCTCCTATCTGGATCTCACCAACATCTACCTGATCAAGCCGGAGAGTAGTGCGGCCGACTATCTTGTTGCCCAGATGTACGTGGGGCCGTTCGGGCGGGTTAGGGCACCCAGGCCGACGGACCATGTTCTTCTGCCACCACCGGGATACTTTGGAGTATACCCGATGAGTTTTGCGAAGGGGTTGAGGTTCCCCCTTCACCCTTTCATTACTGAGTACCTGGACATGGTAGGGCTTCCTCCGGCCTTGTTGACGCCGAACAGCTACTCCTTGATGGTGGGGTTCTTGCTCCGGTGTGAGGAGTTGGGCTACCAGCCGACAACGGCACTATTCATGAATCTGTACCAGATCGGCCGAGGAAGTCACAAGAACTGTGCGGCCTACGCTACTCTTCAGCAGCTGCCGAAGAAGAGGAGCTTCACGGATTTGCCTACGTCCATTCATGGGTGGAAGAGCAAGTTCGTGTCCATTGGTGAGAGTGGCACCGAGTTCCCCTCTCTCGGCCATACCGGGAGGTTTAACGTGCACGACCCGCCGAAGAGCTCTATTTTGGACGCTCAGGTGGAGGCTTTCTTGGAAGGGGGGCCGGGGAGCGTGAAGGAGTACATTACTGAGTACAAGATGACCGCCCTCGGCTTCTTCAGATACCACCTGTATGGAGATAAGGAGGATGACCTCCAACTCTGGCCGAGGATGACCACCACATTTGAAGAGGCCGACGGCCCGGATTTGGGCATCCCTGCTGAGGCCGATGGTAATTATTTCTTCGGCTTTCTGTTTTTATGTTTTTGTCCTTTGCCTGACTAATCCGTTGTGTTTTTTCCTTTGTAGATTTTGCCATGGACCGACGTTCCATAATGGCTGTTGCCAAGGCCAAAGCGGCCGAGGAGCTGGCTGCTAAGGCGGCCGAGGCGGCCAGACGTGCCGCGGCCGGTGGGAGCGGGGCTACTGCTGATGCGGCCCCAAAGCCTGCTCCATCGAAGAAGAAAAGGCCGGCCATTGACGGCCAGAAAAAGTTAACTGAGGCCGGCCTGAACGTCTCGAAGAAGACGAAGAGGGCTCCTTCCCCTTCTCCGGCTACTGAGGCCGGTACTCTGGCTGTCCCCAGCGTGGACGATAGTGGTCCTGTCGTGGACCTTACTGCTGCTGGTGATGCTGCTCCATCACTGCCTCTCGTCCAGGAGCCACGGACGAAGAGGGCCGGCAAAGAGATTGCAGGTGCCACCTACCAGAAGATGGTAGAATACCCCGTCGGCGGGGGTGTCTTCGATGACGTCGTCCTTGGCCACGACGTCCTGGCACAGGCCATGCCGGCCAAGGATCGGGCTTACCTGAGGAAGCTCGGGGACGTGAATATCTACGAGGGCGGCATGGACCTCCTCGTCCAAGTAAGTTACCTTCCTTATGCGTTGTCTTTCTCGTCGTCTGTGTGAAACCATTTGCCTGACTTTTGTTTCCCTTGTTTCTGCAGAGTGCCTTCATGCTAATGGAGAGCCACAAGAGGCAATACCGAGAGATAGCTCGCTTGAAGGAGCTGGAGCAGAAAGCCGCCTCGGCCGACGAGGCGGTTGCTTGCCTGGACCGGATCCGGGAGGATGCCAGGGCGTTGCAGGCCAGGGCCGATGAAGCCGCCGCAGCCAGGGACGATGCCTTGGCCAAGCTCGAGGAGAGCAAAAGGGAGCTCGAGGAGTCCCAAAGGGCCCTGGAGGCCGAGCGGCGCAGGAGCGAGGAGGCCGTCAAGGCGAAGGCGGAGGCCGAGGCCGCCGTTGTGAGGGCTGCCGACGAGGCCGTCGAGAAATTCCTGGCCGAGGGGTGGAAGGCCGATGAGAGGCTCCCCTGGTGCTACGAGGTGGTGGCCGCTAGGCTTGAGAGTTGGGGGATGAACTCCCCTGCCGGCCAGGAGTATTTCAGCCGAGAGATGTCCGTGTATTATAACCTTGGCCAGGAGCGGATGCAAAGGCTCCTGTGTCGGCGGCTCTCTCGTGCTTTGAAAGCCATGAACTATACGTCTGGGTGGGCTAGACGGAACCTGAAGCTGCCGAAGCTGATGAAGGATCCAGAAGAGCAGGCAAAGCTTCTGTTGTCGGAGCGGGAGTCCCCAATTGAAAGCTCCGGCCTTGGCGAGCCGGATTACACCGAGTTTGATTTTTTGGACGATGCCACAAGTGCTGCAGCCACCGCCGGCCAGGAGGCTGAGGCCGAAGAGGGAGCAGATGAGGTCGAAGAGCCAGCCGCAGATGGAGGTGCTCCAGAGGCTTGATCGGCTACTCCTTGGTAGTTAGTTTTCATTTTTGCCCAAATGATGTAACGGCCGAAGAGTCCACCTTTGTATTGAATGGAATATAAATGAAATATTTTTGCTGTCCTGATCGGCTTTCAATTCCTTGTATGCTTGTTTTGCTATTTGTTATTTCAATTCTGAAATGTCTAAGTGTCAAGGTCATAACTTGGGTCACCCGTGAGTGTCCGCTACGTCCATGAGGTCGGCCTCCCTGTCCGGTGGCCTGGTCGGCCTATTCATCTTTGCCTTACTATCAGGACACTTAGGAATTTTTTCAAAAAATTTCCTAAGTGTTTTGGGTTCACTTGGATGCCTTCTTCCCGGTCTGGTGGCTTGGTCGGCCTGACCGTGTTGATGTAGTATCATA